GTAGTTGACCAGCTTTCCAAGCAGGCCATCTTTATCCCTGCCCATGACACTATCACAGCCCCAGAACTTGCCAAACTGTTCCTCCTCCATGTCTTTTCCAAGCATGGAATACCAGCCCATGTAACCTCAGACTGAGGCTTGGAGTTCGTCTCACATTTCTTTCAGTCACTCAGTAAGGCCCTAGATATGCAGCTACATTTCACATCAGGCTACCACCCCAAAGGTGATGGTCAGACCAAAAGGACTAACCAGACCTTGGAACAATACCTCTGAGTCTATTGTAACTATCAACAGGACAACTGGGCCAACCTACTACCTTTGGCCAAGTTTGCATATAACAATGCCCCTAGCACAACTACCAGTGTATCACCCTTCTTTGCTAAGGACTACCACCCCAACATTTTGGTGTACCCAGAGTGTGACCTCACCTCCACTTGGGCTCATGACTATGCAGTTGACCTGGACTCATTACACCAGTACCCCTGTGAGGAGATGACCCTCACACAACAGCATTACCAAGGACCAGCCAATGCCAAACACATGCCAGCTCTGGACTTCAAGGTCAGTGACCAAGTATATGTTAAAGCCAAGTACTTCCAGTCAACCTGGCCTTCCAAGAAGCTCTCAGAGAAAAACCTTGGGCTGTACCCAGTCATAGCTCAAGCTGGTACCCACTCATTCACCCTGTGCCTGCCAGACTCAATCCAAACAGTACACCTGGTCTTCTATGTCTCCCAACTTGAGCCAGCCTTCCCTAATACCATCCTGAACCAGACTCAACCTCCACCCCCACCAGTCAAAGTTGACAGTGACCTAGAGTTCAAGGTAGCTGAAATCCTCAACTCCAAGGTTGACCAGTGTCATCAGTGTTGGCTCCAGTATTTAGCCTGGTGGACTGGCTATGAAGGGACTAATGAAGAAATGACTTGGGTACTTGCCACAGAACTAGACAATGCTTCTGAACTCATACAAGAGTTCCATGCCTGCTACCCCAATAAACCAAGCCCTTTCCAATGAGGACTAGCCTCAACCAGCCTCAGTTCTCTTTTCTATTTTCTCTCCATATCTAGTTCCTCCCTGATCTCTTACTTACCTTGTACTTTTTCTCTTGTTTCTCTCACTTTACTTTAACTGACACTGGAGACTTGACATTGGCAGGAAAAAAAGAGTTACTAGGTGCTACACTACTTTCTACTTGTCCTCCCCTTCAGCCTCCCCACTCTCTTCACTGGCCTGTAGCCACTTGGCCTCCTCATGCAGTTCATTGGAGTTGAGCTCAGATGAGCCTGAGTCCAAAGGTGTGACTGCCAACCCATACCCATATGACTTGTCAAGGATGGCCTCAAGAGCATCAGCAATCCAGCCTGAGTTCTCAATGGCAGCCTCCTGCAAGTCAGAGAGACTGGCCAGGTTGTTGGCAATCAGTCCTGCTGCCTCAATCAACCACTTGAGTTTGCCCTCTAGGCCCAAGTACCTTCTGGTGTTGGGCCTCCTTCAGTCTACTCCTGCCAGCCTTGGGTTCATTGAGGTCTAGCACCTTGACTGGCTTTGCACTCACCTTCGCCCTCTTCTTCTTGCTCAGCCCAGGCTCAGGCATCTCCTCATCAGCCTTCCTCTTTTTCCCCTTGTCAACCTTTGTACTGGCCTTGGCACCAGCCTCAGTGTCCTTCCCATCTCTGGGCCACCAGCACTTTCCCTTCAATATGTTGCATCACATGCAGGTGATGCACTTCTTGTTGCCATCTATGAGGAATTCACAGATGACCTTGGACCAGGTACAGCGAGTACAGCTAAAAATAAAAGATAAGGGGGCACACACAAAACCATTAAGGAGCACTTACCTGGGGTCCATCACCACTTTTCTCACTGCACTGGCCTCACTACCACCAGCCTCATCACCTTTCTTGGCCTCAGCCTTGTGCTTCTCCTCTCATGCACCCCCTTCTCCTCAGCCTCCCACTCAGCTCTCTCAGCCTCGACCCACTCCCTCTCCTGTCTCTTTGCCTCCAGCTGTGCCTGCTCCTCTCATCAGGCTTGTTCAGCCACCTTCTGTCACTTTCTCTCCTTTGCCTTTGCCTTCATCATCTCTTCCTCATCATTGGTGTCATATTTGAAGGTGTTGTCCAACACCTGGGTCCAGTCAATGAGGACCCAGCCTTTGTTGTTTCAGTCATGGTGATCAGCCTTGATTTGGACATGATGAGTAGAATGCAAAGGAAAGATGCAAAGGACTTAGCAAATCACAAGTATCAGTTTTTTCAAACTCAGCCAAAGTTTGGACTCAGCCTACTGCTCTTGCAGGGGTCTTCATGGGTTCAACCCCTAAGAGGGGGGATACTGTCATAGCTGTGCCTCAACCCTGGCTGGACTTGGCCTCACACTCATTCAGTCTGGCCTCAGCCTCACCAAACATTACCTCCAGTTGGCCTAGCATGGTTAACACTGCTTTGCAGTGTGGTTACTAAGAGTCACCTCAGTTGAGCCTGCCTTGTCTCTGTCCTGGTCTCTGGTCATCTTTGTCACATTGTACTAATGCTATTCTTACCAATTTCCTTAGCAATCCTTGTGAGACTGGAATTACTGGTCTCTGTACTATAGTTGTCTCAAGTACATAAACCTGTAGATACTCAGTCTGTACTTCTCCAGTCTGAAATCAAATAAGTCTCCTCTGAAATCTTCTGTCTTGGCCTCAGACTTGGACTGCAACCCATACAAGGGAATAGCACTGCATCCTCAGTTGCTAAGTCCAACCAGTCAACCATCTGTACCTCTGCTCCCCCTCTGCTCCTGACCCTTTGGCCTCATGTACCTGCATCAGTCTCCAGTCCAGTCTCAAACCCAGACTTCACAGACTTGACAGTGCACAATTTTGCAATCACAACACCAGTGGAGTCAGGGGAGGTGAATGATGCCTTGAATGCAGCAACAAAGTCAGTGAACTTCCCAAAACTCAGTGCAGTCCTTTCAAGGCAAGTTTTCTGGAAAGTTGCTGCCCAAGAGCACACAACTCCTTTTTTCATGCACAACAACACACAGACAACCTGTTTGGTGTCAGTGTTGTATACTTCTTCATTGACCATGAGGTAGGTCTGGACTGAAAACAGCCAGCTCATGGCATTCTTCTGGTCACTGATGAAATCAGATGGGGAACCAATCTTTAGTTCAGTGGCCTTGACAGCAGTAGTGCCAATTGTTGCCTTTGACAATGAACTGGACATCATATTCTGTGGTGGGGGCAAGGGATGCAAGAGTTGTGACAGGGGTAGGTACAGATGGGATGGGAGTACCAAGTGAGGTGAGAGGCTGGTTGAAGAGGTTTGAGAGGATACCAGAGGTAAAACCTCTATCCAGTTGTTTGGGTTTGTTGGAGGAGGTGTCTGTGACAGTGCTCTCCTGTTCTTTGTCAGATGACAATTCTTCTCATGTGGGTTGCAACAGCACCCAACATTGGTTGTTTTGGGGTTCATGGTAGTACACTAAACAGAGACCTTCAGCCAGTAGGCTGGGGAGACTTGAGCTTTTGTTACACTGAGACCAAAGTCAAAGTGTAAGGTGAGCTCAGTTGCAGACTATAGTTTCTACCTAGCAAACTGCTGAGGTAACCTCTGTAACTGACAGAGGATTTGGGCAATGCTGGTAAGAGTGGTCCTGTTTAGGGACACTGAGGGTGAAGTTCTGAGGATCACTGTGTATGATTGAGCAGCTCAAGTCTGGGGTTCCAGGACTTGAGCCAACACTCTGGAAATGGACCATGAGGTGTCTGCATGTAACAAGCCAACTATGCCACTGGTTGAACAACAATGACACATGTCCTAAGCATGTTATGAGGTACTAATGCCAGTGGTGGGAGTAAAGGGCCATCAGATCAACAAGAAGATAGCCAAAAAAGGAAGTAAGTCCATCAGAACAGAAACAAGGCAAGTGTAAGGCAAAAACAGGGGTGAAAACATAACACCACCTTGATCGGAGTGGAGGACTTTCACATGAGTGTCATGTTGAGTGCAACACAAGGCTTTGAAGTTACCTAGCTCAACCAACCCCAACAATCAAGTGATGTACCAAAATATTTGAGTACCATCAATCACATGATGTTCCAGTGGCAACTCTATTAGGGCTGAGTTAAAGACTCATCTAAATGAAGCCAAATTCAGATTCAGATGATCAGGCATTGTACCTGGTGAACAATAATGGATACATTGTGAAAAAGAAAATTATATTAAATGGATATGCCATTCCTGGGACTCATGTTGATTGGAACATGGCTCCTATTATGTAGCTTGATTGGATAATGATGGCCATGAGTGATAAAACATTGCATTTACTGTTCCCTTTTCCCATGTGGTCAGACTCTGTCTGAGTGAAGAGTTTGCTCATCTCTCTCTGTCAAGACAATTTTCCATCAGCCAAATGAAGGATGCACCCTCATGTTCAATGGTATGCAACATTCTGTGATCATTGAACTGGATCTGATACTCCAGCCCATCACAGAAGTCACAGAAGTTCATGATAATGCTTTGGAAACATTCTTGGAAGGTGCATGTATCCAATCCCATGCCATGATGAGCTGCTGTATCCACAATGTGTTCACATGCATCCTCATCTCTGCCCTCATCCAACATCTCTCCCTCCAACCTCAGCATGTCCCCCTCAGTTTCTGCACCTCTGTCTACTTGCTCCGAAGTGATGGAGGGATGTGGGAGGCTGTTGTCCAGGGTGATGAGTGTTGGATGGGACCAGAGAGGTAATGATCAATGGTGCTGAACCTCCAAGAAAAAAATTGGGCTGACCATATGCACACTTTGTATGAGATGCTTGCAAATGAGGAACTGGCTCTTCACAAAATATGGGCAAGTACACACCCACTTGTGGGTATCTGGCTGGTATTTATCATTTAATGGAATTGTGATAGGTGTGTTGCTTGCATGTTGCCATTTGTGCTTGAAAGACTTCCACCATGAAGATAGCTCTTGGAAGCAGCTCATATTATTCAGTAAGTGGTCCAGCTTGTTATGATATGATGGAACAAGCTTCATAATTAAGATCCACACCAAAAGGTCCACACAGGGTTTTGAAAAATGGTGTAGAAAATCCACCTTTATGCAATGCCAGCTGTTGTCAAAGATGAGTGTGATCCATGATTTGTGCCTTCTGGTTGAATTGAGTTACTGGCTTTCCATAACCATAGTAGTTTTTAATCTCAGAATCTCATTAGGTTCTGCAGACCATGCCCAAAGCTCCCAATGGCCACAGAAGTACCAATTTTCCCATAGGTAAGCCCAGACTTCTTGGAGGTTGTGTTCTTCACAGAATTTATACATCTGTTTGACAGGCCACTGACAGATGCCTGCAGGACTTGGATGCAAGTACCCAGGCATGAATGGATGGACACAAAAATGATTTTCAATCATTACCACCACAGTTTCATCACCTTGGTTACAAGGTCACTGCCCCCCAAAATTCATTGTGCATTTTTTGTCAACTGCAATCCTCCCAAAAACAAACTCCAATTCAGCTCAGGGGGTTAACATGTGATGCTAGGTACTTGACACAGTTCACACACAAGAGATACACAAGACACTGCTCTACTGGAAAATGATTCTTAATTGTAATGGAAATTGTACTGGATTTTATGCTGTTTTCACTCTCTCCCAGTCAATGTGTGTCTTGCAATCTAGTGTTTCCAGCTGTTGATCCTCCAGTTGAAGATATTCACTTGGATGTTGCGTGAATAACCTTTCATTGAAGTTGCACAACAGTTGAATTGTGTCTCTGCCATGGCTTTGTGACAATGCCACATATACATTGAATGGTGTAAGACCACCAGATGGAGGCATGCTGATGTTGACAATGCAATATTCAATTGTCTGTGCTTGTGATCAATAATCTGTGAATGTGTATGTGGGTGTAACAGGTAATTGCTGTCTTGTCACTGTCTTTTTCTCACCATTTGCAATCACAATCATAAAGGATCTTGAGAGCAGTGTGATTGGAAGAATGCCTTGTGGTAAGCCATCCAGCCCCTCAGCTTTCATTCAGCTCATGCAGACCAAAACATAGCAAGGAGGATATTGCAAGTTGACACAGTGTGTACCAAGTTTTGCTGTCTCCTCTCTTACATCCAATACAATTTCTTCAATGTGTCCATGGGTGCCATTTGCCATGTCCAAACTGGTCCAAATGTTAACTGTTACCATAACCTCCATGCCAACAGCAAGGACAACCTTGTCAGCAAGGCCACTGTGCTCTTGCTGCTTATGACCCCAGGACCCTTTCAGTTTCGCAGCAACTGCAAATTGCTCCTCCAATGTTAAACCCCTGCTGTCTATTGTGTTGAAAGCTGGACTTGTAAAGAGCATCATGCCCTGTGCATGTGTACACACCTTTGCTGTCATTTCATTCCACTTTATGCACACTGCATGACATGGCATCACCAAAAGAGCATTGCTCCATGGGAGCTGCATGAAGTTGACTGGAGAGCACTGCTCATTAGTAAGTACCAGGCTACAAAGCATAGAGATGTGTTTCTCTTTGCAGTTACCATGACAGATGTGTTGTAGGGGTTCTATCCATTCAGTATCAGTGACTCTGACTTGAGTTTTCAGGTGCACAATGACATCAAACTGTTCATATAGCTTGTGGCCTAGCATTTTGAGGTTGGTATCCTTCTCCACATTGGATGGCCAATACAATGGTGCTGATGCTTTGCTGGCAACTGGAGGGAATTGGTGAAAGTCACCAACCAGGATAACATTCAGCCCTCCAAAGGGCTCATCTGTTGTAGAGGCCTCTCCAGTCTGGGTGTGACTGATGGTGTTGGAAAGTGACATGAAGAATGAATGGGAGACCATGGAAATCTCATCATGGTGATGCCTCAGTGGAGAGCACCGATCTTGTAACCTCCTTACAAGATAGCCAAACTGAGACTCTTGGTGCACCTCCAGCTTACAGTGGTTCAGTGTGGTCTCCAAGGCGCTCCTCATATGCAGCACAACACAAGATGACTGGTGCTGGTACTGTCATGCGAGAGGCAGACCTAGGCACTGGCCTGGATACCATTTGTCCAATTAAGAAAGTCGACACTACCAGCTCTTTGAAACATTTGGCAGAGTACATGGGGAGCATACATAGCAAAGATGATGTTCCTTTGTCCCCTACATCACCAACATCACCTTCAAAAGACCGAGTACCCCCAAAGCAGAGACCAGGCAAGTCTGAGAAGGCAGGAAGGGCAATGATCAATGATGTTGTCCTTCCTGTTCTTCAAAACATAATAATAAGATACTCTTTATTTTGCCAGTATGTTTCCAGAGCCTTCTTGGTTTTTGCTGACTACTTCCCACCATGAAGAGGTATCATCACAATGTAATGCAGCATTTGTCCATCTATGGTTGATGCTGTGATTCCAGTATAGGCTGCTTTCACCAGTAAGTGCTGTACCCCACAAGAGTGAATGTTGTCAGTGATGGTCTGAATTGTCTTTGATTTCCCAATGCCAGCTTCACCTGGAATGACCATTCACAATTGTGGAGGGTTGTGCCCTGACAGGTGGCATTGTAAATGCCAACCAACAATGTCATATGCATGCCACTGATCATCCAACAGCTCAGCAATGTTGAACTCTTCAATCCAAGATGCCATATTACATTTGAGGTCTTCAGCTGTCTGCCATGGTTTCAAAAGAGCAAGCATAAACATGCAGTAGAATTCATTACTGGTGTCCACTCAAGGGAACCACAGCCCTGATATTTGTGGTAGTGTGTTGTGACCTTGGGCTCGAAAAACACAACAGTGTGTGTCTTTTCTCAGATGATTGTTCATGTAATGCAATCAAACATGAGCCAGCCAGCCTTGTTTAGGGGTGACATCCTCTGGCTGTTCATGCATGATGAGTGGAGTATAAGTTTCTTCCCATGTATCAACTACAAATGCTAAAAGGCTGCAATGGTCCATTTCCAACCCACAGAAAAGATAATCATTGAGCTGTGAACATGTATAAACTTCACCATGTTCATTGGCATGAAGAGTGACCATCTCACCATCCTCTTGAATACATTCATTATTAACATGCCTCATTTGATTATGTTGTGCTTACATCTCTGTTTCTGCTAACCTCTGGGAGTTTGGTGTCATCAGGTTTGACATCATCAGTAATGCACTCCATGTCACATGAATCTGTGTGCCCCTCTGCAGTTCTGATTGCAGAGAGATGAGTATTCAGTCCCAATGTTATACATGGCTCCATACTTACCTGTCAACTTTTGCACTTGAAAGGCTTGGAAACATTCATCTGATGGCCAAGAATAGCACACTGGTGTATAATGGTGTGTAACTGTGTGACCTGAATGTATCCCCATAACCCATGATATAAGACACCACCTGTGGTCCTGACAATTCTGCCTCACAGTTGATGACATTGATACAGCAATATAGTAGCAGTTGGTTGCATTCCCATAGGTCCTCATACCGAGGATTGTTTTCATGGTAGGCCAATGCTGATGCCATTAGTGCAGAAAGGTTATGAGACCTTTTTTGTTTCTTCATGGCCTATGCAGTAACATAAAATGTAATGTCCTTCATATCCTTGCCATTGGTGTTAATCTTAATGTTGTTGTTGCATCACAAATTTGTTAGTATCAACAGACCATAATTGTTGATATACCCATGGGTTCTCTTTGGTCTCCAGTTCCCCTTTTCATCGATGTAGACATCTTCTCTGAGAGGCCAGGGTGCATATCATTTACATAGAAGTTGCCCATTTTGGACCTGAAGACATGTAGAGCAGCAACAGGTGTGAAGCTGTTGAGATTGCAGAAGCTGTCACTCAAGTGTGTGACTTTCTTTTGCCCAATCATCTGTGGCAGGGTCAGGTGGCTGTGAATATGCTATTTGCGAGTTTCATGGTATCATCTTCAAATCCTCTTCTGTAATGTCATCCATGGGCCTGTATGTTCTCCCAAATGTATTCTTGAATTTTCTCATGGAATTTGGTGTTTGCAAAAGCTGTTGCATTTCTTCTGGGTCAGGGTTTCCAGCCAACCATAGCAGCATGTGCATGTGTAATGTACCTCTCCCTTGTGCCTCCACCACACCAAAATACCTGGACAGTTCACCAAGAATGCCCATCTGACTAGTGATTCACAATGGCCACCTTTCAATGCCCAGAAAACACTCCAATGTGCTTTCAATCAAGAGATTGAAAAACCTGGCAGCTGCATATGGGTTGCTAGCAATATTGATTGTGCACTGATAACTATCAGGACCACCAAGAATGTCAAATTTATCAAGATTGATTGCCTCTCCAGCCAAGACTTGAGCAATTTGATCATGTACATCTGCAGGATTGATGGTCATCCATATCATAGGTCCACCCAGAAAAAGACAAGTTCCCCATATCATTCCCCAATACTGAGTGTGGGTGTTGTCAGAGCCTTCAACCTTACTGTTTGCTGCAGCTACATGTTTTTGCAATGCTTGTACCCTTGGATTGCTAATCTTCACTTTCCTGCCTTCCTCCTCTTCTGCCTTCTGTAAGTCTGTGACAGTCAGGCAAGACAGTGCCAGGGGATCTCATTCAAAGTCTTTTCTCTGCATCTGCAGACAAGCAGACTGCATTGCATCCCACTTTTGGATCATAGCAAAGATCACAAAAGGGAATGCATGGTGGATGACAAAACAGTGGTTGTAATACTGCATTGCCCACCTAGCATGTTTGCAGAGGCTGACATTAATCAAGCATTTGGCCTCAACTCCACCAAGTCCATAAGGAAACAAGCATGGGAAGGCTTCAGCAAGCAGATTGGGAGTACCATACTCTATTGCATTCTTGCCAAAGTCTCCTATAGGCCTGACACTGTGGTGCACCACATATCCTCCTTCCTGTGTTGTGTCCATCAAGTTGGTGAGCATGCACATCATGAGCTCCAAAGAAGAGACCCATGCAAGGTTGGTATCCATGATGCTGAGAGCATGCAGAGGTATGACATCTGCTTCTATATGTTGTTGGTTCAGTCACTGCTAAGAGTTGTATACAGTCCATGCAACTTGTCACCATCATCTTTGGTTTCATCATCATCACCAGTGGAACCATGATCACTGTTCATTGCAACATCAATATCATCCTCATTTACTTCATTGGTGATCTCTGTCAACATCATGAATTGTAAGTCACCATTGTCTGTGATATGAAAATCATACCCATTTCATCATCTATGCTATCCTGTACATAACCTTTGTTCTCTTGTGCCATGACTGCAGCATCATCCTCACACCAGATAATGGCTTTTATTTCAACTGGGATTTCATTGTCAGGTAGTGTCATCAGTCACTGTGTAGATATCATAATATCATGATAAAGAGGATTGTTTGCTTTCAGCTGGAGTAATGCTTCATGAACTGCTTCCCAGCACACCCAAAAGGTGCACAACATCCAATTCTTTGGCAATGTCCTCATTCCTATGAATGTGATTGCAATAACATTGCTGAGCATTGTGACCTCTTGCAGCATCATACTGCCTTCCACCATGTTTGCAATTGCTGACATATTGACCTCATACAATGTGATGTTGCCAGCCATGCCACAATGAAGGTGAGCAGGATTATATCCATGTGAACTGTCTTTGGGATATAACTTGAAAACATAGCAGTGAGGATAATGCCATGCCACCAAAAGCATTTTTGCAAAGGTCAATTTTTGCAGTCCCAGCAGTGCATCTCCCAACCACATGTTATTGTTTAGTGCTAGCTTCAGCATTCTGTTGCCACTCAAGGCTCGAAAGCAGTCCCCACATGCCCATCCCATCCTGGTCTCATCCATGTGTGCCTTCAACAGCAATAGGCCTTGCCATAAATTGTGCACATGATGCTCAACTTTGGGCATGAGATGGCATTCAGCATTGGGTATGTTTTTAATGACCTCTTCTTTCCCTGTCATCATTATTAAAGGTTATAATATTCATGACTGCGAAATCTAACCTTCACTGCTCATCAGCTCACACATGCACACAACACATACATACTGACATAATGCTGCATTGCCAGTTGCCTTAATGAATGATGTGACATGGGTGCATACTTCTTCATGAGAAGGCAATTTCAGGTACTTGGCCTCCCACATACTGACTCTGAATATGTCTTGTGTTGAAGACTGACCAGCCTTTGGTATCAACTGTCTGAGCCACATTAATGTTCACCATTTCGCTTGGTATGCCTGATCTGCTTCACACTTTTGCTGCTTCTTACTTTGCTCCTTTTCAGCAGCAACCACCTGTATATGCTGCTGAACATCAACTGGCAGTTGGCTTATAGCAGGTCTGAGCTGTGCCCATGTCCAGAGTCCTTGTGGCAGTGACCCAGGTGGGACACTATTGTAAACTTTTTGCCATGTAAGTTGTCCCCGAAGATCTTTTATCAATTGTGCATTTTGTCCTCTGCTGGTGCATCTTTTCTTTAACTGCCACAGGTCATTGTATTGACTCCACATGGCACCCCTATCCCCCTTTTTTCATGTCCCTTTAAAATACCTCTGTCCTCTAGGGGCCTGTCCTTTGTCCCTTGTGCTCAAACAACCATGGCCCCCCATTCCTTGAACAATAAACAGAGAATGCTGTCAGCCACTACAGGTTGGTGGTAGTCCCTACATGCCCACTTGTGCTTTTTGACTGGCTACTGGTTGTCATACCACAGAACATGAATCCGTTGAGAATCTATCATCACTGACAGAGCATTTGCATGCCACTGATGCCATGCCACCTATGGCCTCAACCACTATATCCAGTGGCACACATGCTTCCTCTGAGGATCTGCAAAGATGGTGGGACAACTCAGATGAGGTAGACAACATCATACACATGCTGAAAACAAGTGCTGTTGGTTTCTATGGCATGACTCTGCTGCTTGCCTCTTGCACTGAGTTCTTCCAAGGCAGCTTTTCTGGGGACATCACAGTGGTGAAAGAAAGTGGTGATGACATGATGGAACTGCTCATCAGTGGGATTTTTCAGATTAGTCACCAAAACTTTTTCACAGGTCCAGAGGGAGGGTACATGCTATTGAGTTCTTTCAAGTGAGAGTTCTCAGAAACAATAATGAGCTGCCAACTCATTCCTGTTCAGAGAGATGCTGCCTTTGACACAGCTAGGGCCAACTTCACTGCTATAGTGAGCAACATCAGGGCTCTTGAAAAACTTATTCCAGCCAAGAAGGGGACAACCTTGGTTTCATGCATACATGAGGCTGACAGTGTGGCATCCATCTGTCTTAGCCACCCTCTGTTCACAGTACATCCCAAAAACCCCTTGACTTCATGTGTATGGTGGCTCACACTCACACTCCTCAGAGGAAAGATGAGAATGCAGACCCAGACATCACTTACTGTAATGGTATCAACTTCCTCTACTTATCCTGGTCCACATTGAGACAACTTATGCTTCACAGAGACCTGAACTTTGGATTGGCCTGTTCAAGAATGTACCAAGGGAGCCTTAGAATGTGCTGTGCTGACACACATCATTTGTCCCTTGCCCACATTTGATCAGAATCATGAAAGAATTGCACCCTCTGATTATCATTGGAAACTATATGGAGCTGTTGTCATCATGCATTTTGCCTTAGTGCACTACTATTTCAGACAGGACAAGAAATCTGTTTTCAGTGGAATAGTGTGTGAAATGGTGGTCTTACACAATCCACTGCCTCCACCTACCAACCCTCTGAAAAGGTCTCTTGACAGTGAAGGACTGTCATTCACCCACATGCTGTCCTTCAAGAAAAATTGCCTGATATGCTTCACAGGCAAATAGCTGCTATGGTTATTGGCTGATCTCTGCTTCAGGCCTAACAGTTGCCAGGTTACTGAAAGTGGTGTGCCTGACACATTACTGGAAATTTGGATGTGTTAAAAATTGTCTCTGTGTTGTCATAGCTGGAAAGGCAAACCATTATGTGAATGTGGCCATCTGATTATGTACATTGGAAATACACATATTGGCACACAACATCTCACTGTGCTGTGTATGTTGTTTGTATTGCAGCATAAGTTCATTTTATGTTGCCTTAATGTCTCCTAGTGGGCTTTGACACTGATATTGATACCCCACTGTTAGATGAGAAACTTTGGTCAGAATTGCACAGCACACAAATGTTTTCCCTTCAACTTCTTGTGAGGTAAGACCACCTGTGGTTTTATGCAGCCAATTGCTGATTGTTAGGAGGGCCCCCTTGTTATTTATTGAGTCACTATCATGTCTCAGTCATAAAGGGGTAGCCCCTCACCTTGCATATTTAAGTGTCTATGTTGCATGACATGCAGCCTCACTCCCAACTTTCAAACTACATGTAAGTACCACCTATATCTTCGACTATTTCTCATATGGTTTTTCCTCTCTACAGACAATGGATAGCAGATAGCAATCTGTGGCTGCTGAAGAGGACAACACCCTTTATACTGTATGGGGTTTCCTGTTTGGCAGAACCTCAGGTCCTCAGAGACTGAGCATCCGCATTGACAATACTGGCACTATGACAATCAGTGGAAATCAGTTCCATTTTCCTGAAGACTGCTTGATCACCTCCACACATGTTCATGTTCAACACAGGCTATACATCACATTCTTTGATCAACAGTGTCACCAAAATGATCAAGAAAATGCAACATATGTTTTTGTCAGGATCCTCCCTGGCCATCAACATCCTATGCACATTCATGCAGAGGATGACCTCCAGGACATCATGAATGTCCTTCTTGTGTGCATGTTTTGTATGTGTCAATGATGGCTGCACACTAATGGCATATCAGCTTGGCGAGACATTTCCTGATTTCTGTGTCTGTGTCCTCTGCCACTCCTGAATCTTAGCTGTGTTGGGCAATTTACTCTGCATTCTTTTGACACATAATAAATGTTCTATGTAGATAGTGCCTGTGTTATTGCAATATTATGTATGCTTGTGAGGCTGTGCTGCAGTTTGCCACATCTCACCCTTGCAGCATGACATGCTAAGCCTTACTCACTACCTGAGTTGCATGTCACTCATTTATCCTCAAGCAACCAACTACACTAAGTCATATGATTTTTGCCTCAGGCTCCCCATACTTTGTGGATGTTACATTTGTCACCATCCTTCTCACCCCTTACTCCCCTCAACCCCTTAAACCATACTGTACTATAAATCTTGTGTCTGTGCTTCTGCTGACATTGCTCTCATCTTCCAGGTATGTTTTGATTGCCAACAGAACTTCAACATCACATCCTTGGCTATTGCAACATTCATGACATTGCTAACTTTGCCAAATCTTCTCCTAGGGCTGCAGTACTTGCACATGAATATCTCCACTACCGCCTCACTATGACGATGGCTCCCTTCTTTTCCAGCTCCAATGTGTTGCTAGAAATGTTGCATTCTTGCAAAGCTGTCACCTCTGGTTCCTTTGTGCTCCACATGGTATTGCCTGCAAACACCTGCACATGGATGCTGACTGATCTGGATCTCTATGTCCCTTCACATCATATGTGTTACTTGTGTATGAAACTTGAATGTGAAGGTATTGATCTCTCATGGTTATCTTGCAAAATCATCCATTGACTGGCCACCTGCAGGTTACTACATCATTCACCAGTCACACATTGATGCCAGCACTTACAGTGCTGCAGCTGTCTGCAACATCCTCATGTTCTCCAATGGTTCTCACTACACTGATGTTGTTGTGTCCAAGACAATGACCACCATCTCACCATTGTTTCAGTTCCACAGCACAGCTGTGATGAATTTTATTAGCACAGATGGCATTTTTTGTGCATACCCTGGCTTGGCCCTACACAGGCATGCACTGATTAATGCATATCCCATTTATTGTGGGTCTCTTGGATTCAAGATGATGGCTGCCCTCCAAAAATATAACTCACGTGGTTTTGACTTCACCCCATGCGAAGATATCCATCAGTTACCTCACATTTGCCAGTCAATGCCTCAGTCCCTGACTGATGGCAGCTGTTTCTGGGTTCAAGTTACTGACCTGACTCATGACCTTGTAAGCACTGCTGACACCTTTAATTGCTTGGGTGTTATCAACATCATATGGTTGCTGGGCAGGTACATGTGTGGTGCTTATCCTGCATTCACAGACTGCTACACATTGGTGTTCAACAACAACATGTAAGTTTGTTATCATCTCCTGTGTACAATGAAGCTCATTTTCCAAAGCAAGCTTCTTTCAGATTGCTGGTTCATTGGAAGTGAAGAAATTTAAGATTGATGTGGTTGTATTTCGGGGATAGTGAGCACAAGCACAAGGGGGTGCTGATGCTGGCTCAGATGGTTGGGTCAATGTGGTTTTATGGTGTTTACCTATCCAGATATGGCATGTAAATGATAGTCTAAGTAAGGTTGTTCTGTGTTCAGCTTTTATGTTACATTCATAAACAAGGTGCCTGCCATCCCCAACAGCCCTATCTTCTAGTGTAGGTCAGTGGAACAGAATGCTCAGGATGGTGTGCTCTCCAGTTGCTTTGGTGCCTTTACTTTAATTGTAAGTTTTGTGTTGCTGATGACTCTGCCTGTGCCTGTGATGGATTCATATGTGCTGATGTCTGGTTTGGTAGTGATGCTGAAAGATGGATTTGGGATGTGATTGGACAGTGAAGGCACGATGTTGTCATGGGGGATCTCATCATGTTCCAGAAGGACTCTGCCCTCAAACTTGGCAACATCAGGTGTGCTGAGGGGCTGGAAGTCAACACTGATGAAGGAAAATTCATGATTTGCCCAGAGGAGGTGGTAGGGTGTTTTTGACAGTTTTTCTCTTGCTAACCATTCTTGTACAGCTCTCCACAGATGCCACCAGCAGAGCTGGATTTTAGCTGAGGGCCATACTGGCTTGGACATACTAATTTCTGCCATATCCTTGTTGACATGGATAAACCATGGGTGAACATGATAATGGTCACAAAGGCAAGTAGCCCACTGTTGTAAGGCTTTTGTATGCTTCCCAATCTCAATTGAGGTTACAGTTGAAAGAAGACAGTATTACAGTGGGAAGCCAGCATTATCATATTCTGCAAGCACACTATATAGCTCTAGGTGCTTCGCATTTGTATTATCTGGTGGGTCGTGTTAATTGAGAGGCATTGAGTATGATGTTGCTTACATGTTGCATCCAGGGCAATTTCAACAGCCTTTCCTTCCAACATGCCAGATATTTTCTTCATTCCCCAGCATATTTGCTCCACCCCATCTGGGATCTTCATGTCAAAATGTCTACTTCATTGCTGCACTCATCCAATAGTGTTCTTGCTGATGTAAGCTGATTGGTATCCTTTTTCCAGAGAATTTCACTCATCTTCATCCCAGCAGAGTGTACTTGTGCTGGTGTAACATGTGGGTATAGTGCCTGGATCTTCAGAACAAGTGAGCTAGGTGTACTCCACTCCAATTAATCTCAGATGATCTGGGTAACCTCCAGGGGCATGGTGACATCATAGTAGGCTGTATGTGCATTGGTGTGCTTGATCCTGATTGATAGTGTATGCTGATTGATTGTGTTCCCTGTTTGCTGACAACAGGATATGGTAAGGGCACTGTTGCAAGGAAACCATTTCATCCCCATGGTGTCATGGTGTTTGGCACCTTCTCTTTGACTTGGCTGTGGTTTCTGTTTCTTGTCCTCATCCTGACAACACCACAACAGTGTCTTGTGGCCCATTTTGAGTGGCCAATGACAGTGCACTCTATGAATACTTTGTAAGCTTTGTTCTAGTATACTAGGCTTGTGCAGCACTGAACTCATCTGAAGCAGTATCCAGTAACTTTCCATATCTCAAGTGCAGCATGTTGTACTCTTTCCTTTTCACTGACTAATGGGTCCACAGACACTAGAAAACTGCCTTGGAACTCCACACTTGTTGAGCTGCAAAACTTTGCCTGCAATGCTGTAAATAAATTCTGAGGATTGTCATACTGTGGTGTTGTGTGAGTATCTTGAGGGTGAGGTCTGAGGAACTGAGTTGAAACTCACATGTGTGTTGGCTCCCAGGGGCTGGGGACAAGGCAGCATGGTTATCTTCTTCTCTTTTTCTCTTTCTCTGGGTTGCAGTGGTGATTTTATCTGCTTCCCAACATTTTTCACAGGTCTTTCTGGGGTCATCATTAGGGAGTATTCTCTTGCACTTGGACTTTGAACATATCCTTTGGGTTGGTATTGAGGTGGGGTCCATGTGACATGGATGTAAGGTACATGTGGGAGTACTTAGTGTTATACTGTGCCACAAGTCTGTAACTACCAAAAGTGGTAAGCCACCAGCAAGTCATGTGAATCACATGATAGGTCAGGGGTTGGTTGAGCTGGGTTTGCTAAGGCTTCAAACTCCTTGTAGGCTGTGAAAACCTCACTCTTCTGGCAAAGGAGGTGGATGTAGGTGAGTCGCATCTTGTCATCTGTGAAGGTGATATAATAACACCATCCGCCAAGAGTTTCCACAGGTGTGGGTCCCCAGAGGTCAGTGTGCACTTCTTCTGCAAATTCATGGGCTTGTTCTCCAGCATGTTCTTTTGTGATAGGCTTCCTAGTTGCCTTTGCATATACACAAGCTTTACAGAAGATTGGTTCATCTTTTGATAAGTCTAACTTTAGGCCTGATATGAGTCCATTTTCTGCTAGGCAACAAGTGACAGACAGGGAGATGTGCCCCATCCTCCATTGAAGTGCCATCACAGTTATCATTTCAGCTGCAACATTTATGCTGTCATGGTTGTCATTGTGGACAACTTGATAGAGTCCAGCCTTGGACTTAGGGATGCAACCAACAATGTCATTGGTAGGGTTTTTGATAATGCAGGTGCCTTCAGCAAAGGTAAGGGAGTAGCCTAGCTGGTCAAGGTGGTCAATGCATACTAGAGTGTATCCAACCTTGGGGAGAGTGCAGCACTCATCTTTGAGTGTTGCAGCTCATAAAAACCCACCCAGATACAAGGTTCCACCATCTAGGTACTGTGTAGGCACACCACCACTTGCTTTTATTGTCTTTTGTGTTTGTTTTGGTTGGTTTTCACCACTGAACCACACTTTGACTCACAGTGCCTGTCATTGAACTTTATGACTCCAGATCCACATCTCCCCTTACAAGGAGAAGTTCAAAACATTAATGAGCATACCAACCAAGTCATTTTCAGCTGCTAATAGACAACTTTTTCATGCTACAGCTATGGGGGAGCTGGTCATAGAAGTGCCCAATGGGTACAACATAACCAGGCTATGACTTACCAAGGTGCTGAGGGTTGGGGGTGCTTCTGATGAAGAGGGAGCAAGAATGCAAGAGGATTGTGATGGAGTAGACTGTTGTCAGCCTACAGAAGGATGAATGATGACTTAATTCAATGTTCTGAGCTGTACTGAGCTCAGGGAGGACTTGGAGTGAAGCTTGACTGATGATAGAGGATGATAAGCAAAGTAGATGATAGTTAGACCCTTAATAAAGTCTCAACTATCAATGCTGATGAATGATTTACTGAGTGATGATGAAAATGTGAGCAAGAGGGGCTCTCTGATGTCTTCTTCTTTTTCAGCTATCTAAGTACAGTGATATATATATGGTATGAGGGTGTTGCCTATGGAAAATGAAGTGCAGACACTTGGTAAGTGATTGGTAACTGGCAAGTAAGGAATGTAAGCAGTAGGTAATCATCTTAGAAAGAATTGGTGAGCATTTGTAAGGATAAGTAAGCCAAAAAGCAAAGATTCAGTAAGCAAAGTCAAAAGATCAGTAAGTATTGGCAATAGGTGAGTCAAGGACAGTCAGAATTTCAAAGTATGAGTCAAGTAATGTCAGAAACTGGGTAAGTGTACTGGAATCACATTAGGGAGAGGCTGTGCATGTCACATCTCAAAGAGATTGCTTCTAGGCCAAGATGGGATGACAGAGAGGTGGCACTGATCTGATGCTGATATAGTACATCCAAAAGTGGACAGGGTGAGTCAGATGTCAACAGGTGTCAAGCTTTGGGGGTCTGTGGGTTGACAGGAGCATAGGGGATTGCAACTTTCCCCCCCAACTGTCCTCCCAGTGAAGCAAATAAAAACTTCATGAATGAGGCTCTGTTGGAAGAGAGGATGAAGGGGGAGTGTCTTCTGCTGTATCTTGCAACAAGGAGGCAAGATGTGCATCATACTCATCATGGATGTGATCAGGGAGATTGGAGAACAGTAGATTATACTGTAGCTGTTGCAATCTTGGAAGAATGATGGATGAGACTGGTATGAAGACATTGCAGGGAGCAGAGAGGAAGGATCTATATGCTTCTTGGACTGGAGAGACTGAAATGATGACATGAGACCTTTCTAACCAAATGACAGACCTGAGGCAACCAAAGAACATCCTCCTAGAGGTCATACTGACAAAAAGAATGCACTGTCCAAGCTGGATGGGCTGAGAGGGGGCAGACAAGGGTGGGATGTACCAGGATGCTTCAGGATGGAAGCTGGTAGGAACTCCTGGTAGATATATGTAGCCATGGTCCCTAGCAAAAGGGACAAGAAAAATGATTGATGTGGAGGCAGCCATATCAGAAGAATTAGTGAAATGAGCATCTTTTGGAAGGAGTGCTGTAGAAATGTGTGGAGTGCACAGATCCTTTCCAACTTTGGAAGGTAGGATCACATGGATGAGCACTATAAGTGAGTGTGGGAATGGTGTCAGTATCTGCAGAAATGGTGGAGATATGTCAAAAACTGGAATGCCATACACAGGCACTTAAGAATCTTTATTGGCACTTAACTTGCTTCCTTCCTTTTTCTTTGGCATTGATAACTCATTCTTGTGTGACAGATGACTGCCAACATTCCTGGCTGTCATTCTATGCATGAGGGCTATAGTCTTCATCTCCAATCATCAGCAATATCCATGTCCATGTCACCAAACACCTTTGGTGTGTGACAGTGTGCTAATAGGGCTATCATTTACAAGGTTCACCAGTTCTGGGAGGGCATCAGTGAGCTTGTCAGGACTGGAAGCACCACCATGGGGTAAGTCCTCATCATCCACATCCCCCATCTCACTGAACCAGTCTTCAATAGTAGTGATGAAGCAATGCCAATCAAAGTCATCATCATCTGATGATACACTCAGTAGATCAGGGAGCAAGACTTCATTGTTGAGTTCATTCAGGGCATGCACTGAGAAGGCACCCTCTTTGTCAGAATCAATTGTTACAGCATGTGTGGATCCCTTCATAGTGACAGGTAGAACTTCTTTCTTTTTATCAGGATCAGGACATTGAGCTTTATATTTATAGTGCTCCCTCAAGCCACAGTTCCAGCAGGGTCCTCACTGGCAAGCATGCCCTCTGGAACTTCCCCCTCATCCCTAATTCCTTCCATTCCCTTGCCCATGACTGGAGTAATTCCCAGGGGTCAAAGCCAAGGCCTCATCACCATTGCAAGCCTTTCATTTTACTCATGAGTTTCAAGTCTCTTTACAGCCTCACCATTCTGACTCTTCAATAATCAGGGAGATGAGGATATTGGGGTCAATGGTTTGTGTCAGGCTGCACAGGCAGGTGGTTGCTAGCTGTCCAGATGCAAAGCTAGTGAGGTACTTAGGCAGTGATTGGATGATGGTCAAGTGGTAATCCTTTTCTTCAATCTGTACACTAACAGCAGCTAACTTGTCTCTCTTCATACATGGATCATCCAAGAACTGGCAGATGTCACTATTGACAGGGCACTGCAAGTTTAAAAACTTGGTGCAAAGGTTGGTCTGTGTGTAAGTACCCTTCTCTGTGTATTTGCAAACAATTTCATTCTACATAGCTGCAATGCTGTTAAGGCTATGCACCCAGAGGGCAGCAGAATCAGGGATCCATTGGGTAAGTAAGTGTTTCACCATATTTTCACTTTTCTGCCACTTAGTGAGTTCATCAATGTCAGGAGGGACTACAGTCATGAATCCATCCTGATTGGTGGAGGTCATGCCGACAGGGGAAGGGGAGGTGCCATTGAAATGGGACCACAGTTCCTTAGCTTTGATGGTGGTCTGGAAGCAAAGGGCAAAGATCACCCAGTTCATGCCTTTGATGTCAAGCTTCAGAACATTGCCAAGGAGTGTGCCAGTGGTGACAGGGATAGTGGTAGTCATTTTGAGGGGTAATTGAAAACTGGTTTGGCAGCAAGAATATCAAAACAAAGGTGAGATGTTTGTAGGCTATTAGAGCTCATGGCTCATAACCTCTCAGATATATCTATATGAAGTATACT